ATATAGAATTTGAATAAAATCGACAAGATGAATAATTCGTGCAATCGCGAGCTTACTCAATCAATAAATTTGACAGGTGTAGCAAGTGCTAAGATTAGTAGCCTAATTAATGGATAAATTGTCTTTTTACCCCGAATATGCGAAATATAGAATTTTGTTAAACAATTGTTGGTCTCTGTTATTCACGTGAATTTATTTGTCATTATTTCACACTAACTGGTGATCCCTGAATATGGGGTAACGTAAATGGCACGTGTTGAGATATTTTCCACTAGTTTCGGACTGGTGGGTACTTCAGAGCCATAATAGACTGGAAAGAGAAGTAGAAAATTAAAATGGATGGTTGAACGATTGGTTTTGTTTGAAGACCTTCAAAAAATTGATTTACTCACTTCATGAGCGTCAGTGGGGGTAGTCCAGGGTCAGCTCCCTTCTTGAACCCTAGGAAAAACGCCAATAAAAATGATAACTTGGAAACAATCTGTGAATCTCTGGATTTCAAATGGATAAAAGAACGTAATAGACAAATCTAGAGTTTCTTATAAAAATTTTGTCGAAACTAAAACATCTATTCAGATTCCACAAGTTGAATTGTTGTCAATGCTTTTTTAGTAGATATTTGCTTCGATTTTAGTGAATTTTAATGAGAAAAAGTCAATAAAGTTGCTTTTTATTTCCGAATGGAAACCCTGTAATCGATTAAATCTGAGTTTCTCGTTTTTCATATGATATCAACCCGACATGATTCAAGAAGTCGAAAAATGCAATTTTTTAACCGTGTCCGTACATATTCACGTGTGTGTCCGTGTATATAACAAATTCTTTACCTTTATCCGAATAACCGTAAATAGTAATAACACGAGAAGACAAACGTAAATCATCAACTAACCTAAATAGAGAACGGTAGGCATAAATCCCCAGTGTAAAATAGTCTTCGTCACCTCCAGAACAACCGCAACTTTTTGTTTAGTAGCTGGGCTCAGTGCCATGATCTTCAACCCGAAAAATCCTTGAGTTTTTCTAAAATAAAATCGGTAGAAAGACACGTGCGAATGTACTTCTTGTCGAAATAATTTTCTCCTTCAACTAGACAATTCCCTGAAATTCCGCTTGGAGGCGCTGCGGCAAGAAGAGATAAGTCTACAAATCTTCAATCGTTTTGAATTAATCTGCATAATCTGAAGAGAAATAGGAGACACTCAAATTTCAATCGTCATTTCATCAGAAAATGTCATTTGATATCTTCATTGTCGCATTTTATACTGAAGAAGAAAACCTCCATTTCTTCTTTCCATGATTATTTATTGCTCGGATCATTATTTTCTCCATTATCTTAATATTTCTTCTTTAAGCTAATCTGTTACAAAATTCAACTGCAGATCGTCTTTTATGAGTCCCACTCTGCTAATATTCGATAATTTCATAGGATAGGGCCCTATAAAAACGAATCAATCTAAACGTTATATTGTGATAAAAATATGAGTTATTGGTGATATTCTCTGATTTTTTATGTTTTTTGTAACTTTCTGGGAACCTCGGGATTAGATTGAACTGATTAAATATCCTATTTTTAGGTTTTATCATTATTGACTAATGATGACTAATTTTCATAGTCGTGCGTCGATTGTTCAACATTTTTTAGAAAGTTTCGTGAATTTTGGCAAAAGTTTACTGAGAACGTAGAGAGATTCTTCCACGATGATGGAACTTTGTGAGACATTAAATAATAATAAAACTTAAAAACAGTATATTTTTACACAACAATTTTATTAACCGTTTCTTATAAATTTGTAAAAAAAATTAGGGAAAACGAGATTTCGGTAATAACCCCTTGAAGCACAAGTAATTACGCCTGAGGATATGAAGTGCGGAAGACGTTTATAGAGGGATGACAATCTGCAAAATAATTTTTGAGATAAACAAATGAAGTTGAGCCTAAATTGGTCTATTGTTGGTCAGCGAACAAGAGGATTTAAGAGTGTCTTTCGGATTTTGGATAATTTAACGTTTGGGGAGAGATTATGGTTGAAAATATTTTGTTGTTGAAATATAGAATGTTGTAGGCCACAGTGATGGAAAATAGTGGAGGAAGAATAAGAAATAAGAAATAAGAAATAAGAAATAAGAGATAGGGCAGTTGGAGCCGTAAGCATATTGATCAGAAGACGGTAGTTGGCCAAATGCCACGTGGTGATGCTGTGTTAGAAGAAGACGCCGGTTTCATCTCCTATTATGCGCCAAGGCTTCCATCTTCGTTTCAATACTCAGTGTTTCTACCCTTCGAATCATCTTCCACTCTATTCTTCCCTCAAACCCACCCCCATGTCCATCCCGCCGTCGTTGTCACGATTCAAGAGGAATATCATCTTTTCGTATATAAATTGAAATTTTTCCGGAATTTTGGTGTTGAAGATTTAGTCCTCGTCCACAAGAAAAAAAAACACTCTCTTCACTTCAACATTTTTTCGCGGTAGAAAAATATTAAGAATAAATGCTTTATTTAAAAAACGATGCTATAGAAATTTTATAAAATTTATTTGTGAAATTTTTTCGGACATTTTTCAATAATTATCATTTTATCAATAATTAATGTGGGATTTCATTATTTTCATGTCACATAAAAAATATAATTTCACATATATTTATGGTAAAACTCTGGGATTTCGCATATTTAATAATTTTCAAGTGATTATTCATTTTTGTGAAATTTTTCTTACAATGACTGGCAGACTGGTGGAAAAAGCTCGAAAGACTCGATATAAAGTCTGTAGTGATCCTCTCTCGCCCCTCCCATAGAGGAAAAGAGATCCGTACAGAAAGCAAAAAAAAAATGAGAGAGAGAGGGAGAGGAGGAGATAAAGAAGAAGATAAAATTAGAGTGAGAGGAGGAATGTCTAGATAGCCTAGGGGTTTTGCCTAGCTATATATGTAGTAGAGGGTTGGGCGCGGTGGTAGGAGGGATGGAGGGACGGAGGGATGGAGGGATGGATGGATGGAGGGATGGAGGGTGGGTGGTGGGTGGTTGGATGGTTGGAAGGTTGGAATAGTGTGGTGGATGCCCCCTTCAGTGTCCGGCGCGCCTCCGTCTCGCGTGCTTCGGCAATTCGTCCACCAACCGAATACTGGAAATAAATTGACAAGTATGAAAAAAATCCACTTGACATTTTTCTAATATTTTTCACGAGAAAATTGATGGTTAAACAATGCATCGGGCTCGTAATTTTTATACGTGAAAATGATGATAATTTTTTTTTACCAATGACGATCAAGTGTTCATCAATCTGTGAAGATAATGTGAGTGAATCGAGAAACCATCAGTCACAGAAAATCGGAAATTTAAATGCCGTCAGTAGTAGTTTTAAGGATATTAGTGGTGGATTTCGGTGTACGATAAAGTGTCCGATGATATTGATAAGCCCGTGATGATAAGCCCTTGATAATCCAATATATCGTCGAAAAAAAAAAACTGAGGGGTGAAAATTGCGCGGCAAATTCAAGGGAGAATCGAAGGAGAAAAACAAATTTTACCATCAGAGGATAAATTAATTTGGCGAATGGCCGTAAAGTGGTTAAAATACATAAATAATTGGACAATTAATAACGAGTCCTTGTGCTTCTGGTAATGCGGTGTTTGGGCGATGATGCATTCAATCCGTCGTCGTCCATTACCATCGTTATATTCACCATCCGTGAATTTATTGATATTATTAAAATATATAAAATTAATAAAATTATTAAAAACGATAAACACACTGAAACCATTGATTCGAATAATATTACCAGTAATTTGTTATTGCAGTGGTGTTATTGCACAAGGTGACTCGTATTCGATATGCCTGAATTACAATTATCAAAATATATTGTTTATAAACAATGTAAATACGATAAACAATGGTATTACGATTACTTGTATAAACGTAAAACAACAACGTACTACAGAAATAATAATTGCTGTTGTGGCCTTAAACTATTACTCATTGTAATATTCACGTGGTTAATTGTATTACCAAATAGTGCTATTGGTAGACAAACCGGTGGACATCATCATAGAACATGTCCTGGTTGTCCACATCAGCATGTACATAATATTAATCGTAAAGAGTCTGAACCATCGCCCGATGAATTGCGTCTCGAGGCAATTAAACATCAGATACTGAGTAAATTGGGACTCAGAAGTAGACCCGATGTCAATAGAACACTCTCACAAGTACCTAGACATTTGGCACTCGAGACACTCTATCGGGCTGAGGCACAACCATCGAGATACATTGAGGATAGACGATTTATGGATGATTATAGTGATTATTATTACGGAAGGGAGGATTACACGTATAGAAATGTACAGGATGAGAGGAGTACTCAGGGTCCAACCAGTACACAAGGATTTAGGGATGAGGAGAGGGGTAATGAGGTGGAGGTGGATGATTTCTATGCCAGGACGTCGGAGATTATCACGTTCGCTGAGCCCGGTGAGTACTATTTTTTTCTCGCCTAAGTCGCATCGAAAGTACTATTTTCCTGACTACCAACAAAAATTTCTATCTTTAAACTTCACTTTTTCACATTTTGTGTGCAAAGTGACATTTTACGCACGATGCGTGAAGCCAAGCTTTACTTGACTTTTACTTTTGTAATACAATATACTATATTTAATTCATGTAAGGATTATAAACTCAGCTTTTTACATGTGTCATACATAACTTTATGATGCGAAGCGTCCTAAAAAGTTCTCTTTGTTGCACTTGGATCATAAACGAGTTTTTGATGTCCTAGGAGAAGCCAATCCTTCACTAAATAATGATGTCTCAATTATCCGCGTCATGCATGACATTACAATCTCCATTTTGGTACATTATGCAAAAATTTGTCCTCCAAGAGTTTTTCTTCATTCCACATTAAACATCAAGACGATTTCGACGGTGCAAGTCTCATTCTACCGCATAGGATCTAAAATATTCTCAGCGGCTGTAAAATAGAAACTTGTCGTGCGTGCGAAATTCCCCTTTTCTCAAAGATATTTTTTACCACTATTTCTTCATCTTCTAGATAAATATACCTCGCAGCTGTAAAACCAATTAACGAGGCTCTTTATTTACCCCTTCCTCTAATATCTTTGACTTTACGGCCTAGGGCGCAAAGTATTACTTTACGGATGGTGGCATTTTTTTTTCTCGTCGGATGATGAAATCTTTGCGGCATGGATAAGAGGTCTTGGTGTTGGGTTGAAAAAAAATCTCCCTCTCTAATTGAACAAACGAAACTTGATCCGATGATTCTAAGTACGTCTTAATGTCTTGACGGTGGAGAGGGACGATGTCGTTGGCGCAAGGCCGACTGTCCTGCGAGACATTTACGATGGTAATAATAATCTTGCTTAAGGGTGCAAAGCCGTTAGGGGGTATTGTGTACATGGGGGGAGCGATGGGGGGATTTGAAATTGCTGTAGTGGGCGCCAACGTTGGGGGCATTTAGCTGGCCTCTTTTATTCACTGCAGACGTCTGACTGGGATATGGACAATTTGATACATGTAGAGGCATCCACTACTCGTTACGGCTTTTTCTCCATACCATAAGGGAAAGCATTGGGTTCCGTATCGGATTACTTGGAATTTTTTCAATCCCCAGACAGTAACAATCCAAGTTCAGGAATTTGCTTCATGAAATCAGGAAAAAATATATAATATCGATAAGTAAATGAGCTGTGTTCATTATCCTCTCTCCACCCCCTCTTTTCCACGGTTTTTGGGATACTGAGATCTACTGCGCACTTCGCGCGCCTAATTTGAATTTGCCGGTTCGAGTTGACCAATAGGAAATCAATCTTACAATTTCGAGATAATTCGACTCGGGTCAACTTCGTTTATGTACATCTGGTTTAATATTAAGGATAATTCGACTCGGGTCAACTTCGTTTATGTACATCTGGTTTAATATTAAGGAATACTGAGGACTCCTCTCTCTCTTTGTTGGTGGGGGTTATATCATCATTTTTTTAGTAATTTTTTTTTTTGTAAAATCATTCTGAATCAATCATAATAGAATTATTCGGGTTTCCTTTCTACCTAATCCAAAAATCTATCTAACGATTTATTTTGACATCACAAAATTTGGAACTGTACTATACTGTATATTCATTCGAAAGCTCAGGAAATAAGTTTTGAGAGAATATGCGAGTTGTCTGATTCTCACTATTTTCATGATTTAATTCAATTTTCAATTTTAATTCGATTTTTTCAGGTTTTCAAAGGAAATGAAAAGGAATTTATATATATATATATACCATTTTAAAGAAGATTTTTTCTTCTTTGGAATTCTATGCGTTTTAACTAATTTAGTTAAGTTTTTCTAGACTCATTGAGTTTTTTCGCTTTTCATCGTTGTGTCACGTATGTCATAAAATGTTAATTTATTGCTAATTATTTTAGGATTCAATGTAGTTCATGGAAACATATTGTACACGATTTGAATCTTTTTATAAAGCCGTTTGATTTTTTTGATTCCATTCATTTGATTAAGAGAATTAACATTATCAATGATAATGTGTTACGTTTTGAAAAATAGTAATTCCGTTTAAATCAAGTCCATATCTTTCTCATTCTCGCAAATACTCAGGTATAATCTTTCGAAAAATGTTGAATAGTGAAATTTTTATCACCACTAAGCTGATTAATTAAAACAATAAAGTGACTAGTTTTCGAAGAAATTAGGATTCTAATTTTTTGGCAGCCATTAACCACCGAAATTCTATGGGCTTTTTTGTCTCGAAGGAAATGGCCGTCCCGTCGGAAAATTGAGGTG